TTGCATTTTCGCCTTTGTAAAAAAACTCTAAAATGTACCGAATTTTCTCTTTGTTCACTTCCATTTTTATCACACTGTAACCCAAAACTGAATGCACCAAATAAAAAACAATAAAATATTTATTTTTACTGGGAAATATCAACCTTCCAATGAGCATAAATCTGAAATTGTTTCATCGATACTTTATGGGAAATCTATCAGTACAGACATCTGCCGAAATATAATGCATTTCTTTTCCCCAACCTAATATAATTGAAAATATTGTGACAGGAAGTTTTAATTTCAGTTCTGCGTTTCAACCTAGGTAAGAGGTTGTGGTTCATCTATATCCTCGAACAGCTTTGCGTGATTGAGGGTATCGAAAGCTTTCGATAAGTCAAGATCCAATAAAACTGTTGTGGCATGTTCTGCTTAAGTCCTGTTGTTATATGTGTGGTTATGGCGAGTAATTTTGTTGATGTGGTGTACAACTTCCGGAGTCCATGTTAATGTTGGGCGAAAGGAAACCTACTACTCATCAGTGGGAAGAGTAGTAACTCAAGCGTCATTGATACTAGTTACAGAAGGGTAATCGGTCTGTGCGATTCACCTCTTGTGGTATCCTAGCCTGGCTTCAGTAGCTTGACGCTTCTTCCTAATTTTCGGACAATGTGGAACGATAAAGGTTTCAAAAATTTGTTTTTTTCCTTAGGTATTATCGGGTGCCATATAGCGGTATCCGACAATACTTTGGGGATTTAGGACACGTTTTGCAACCGAATTGACTGTAATTTGGCAGTTTATGTTCCCATTATTGGATTTTGGGCAGGTTTTCAGACCGAATTGGCTGTAATTTGGTATTTAGTGTTATCATTAATTAACACATATCTGCACCATAAATTATTTATATTAACTCAAGTTTTAGGGTTTTGGTGATTTTTATCAGGTTTTCCAAATAAAACCCCCGTATTCCCAATACTCGGTATTTTAAGGATTCTGGACATTAAATAACACATATCCATACCAAAAATTATTAATATAGACCCTAGTTCCAGGCAATCCCTCATAACACTGTGTACGCCACTATGCGTTATTTTTGGGATTTGGACACATTTTCCAGCCAACACGGCTGTAATTTAGTATTTTGGGTTTTCATTGAATAACACATATCCATACCAAAACCAGTAAGGAAAGTTCAAAAGTCGGACGGAGCCGACTATATTATACCCTTCACCACTATGGGTACATGCAAGTCATGTTAATATCTACAATATCCTGTAGATATAGAAATTTAGCATACATCAGTCGGGACCTAATTAAGTACTCTGTGCAAAATTTAGCTTCAATCGGAACAATTTTGGGAGTTCGGTGCACAATTTACTTTAAATCGGGCGAAACTATATATGGCAGCTATATCTAAATCTGAACCGATTCCAACAAAATTTCGCATTCATCAGTTGGTACGCTGTGCAAAATTTTGCTTCAATCGTACCAATATTGGAAGTTTGGTGCACTATTTACATTAAATCGGACGATACTATATATGGGAGCTATATCTAAATCTGACCCGATTTCAACAAAACTTCGCATTCATAAATCATGAACTAATTTAGTACGCTGTGAAAAATTTTGTCTCAATCGGATAAATATTGGCAGTTTGGTGCACTATTTACATTAAATCGGACGAAACTGTGCATCGAAGATATATCTAAATCTGAACCGATCTCAACAAACCTTGGCATATAACTATCTAGACCTAATTCAATGCTCTGTGCAAAATTTTGTCTCAATCGGAGCACAATTGGGAGTTTGATGCATCAATAAGCTAAAATGGGACGAAAATATATATGGGAGCTATATCTAAATCTGTACCGATTTTCTCCAATTAAGTGATCTGTGCCAAATTTCATCCAAATCGGATCATAAATGCGACCTGTACTTTGTTAATAAAAATACATGGACGGACAGACGGACATGCATAAATCGACTCAGAAAGTGATTCTATGCATATTCTCAAAAGGAACCATGGGTCTATCTCGATTATTTTTGCCTGTTACAAACATATGCACAACGACACAATACCCCGTACCACAGTGTGGTGAAGGGTATAAAAAGGGGGTTATAAGGGGACTACCCCTAAAAGAAGGGCGAATATTAATCATTTTTGGGAGGGAGGTTTGTTACCATATACGACTACAAAAAAAAAAAAACAAATTACAAAGAATTTGGTTGAAAACGCGTTCAAGAACCCCAAAATACCGAAAATTGGGGGCTACCCGAAAAAATGGACCTATATTTATTATTTATAGTGGAGAGATTTTCTATCTAATAAGAACTCGACATACTAAATTACAGTCAATTCGATTGAAAAATACGATCAGATCCCTCAAAATACCAAAAATTTGGCAGTACCGTTATATGGGGACTACCAGAAAAACTGGACCTATATTTATAAATTTTAGTATAGGCAATTTGGTACATAATAAGAACCCAATGTACAAAATTTCGGAGAATTCAGTTATAAAACGAGCCCAAGAACCCCAAAATACCGAAAACTGGGGGTACCCTTATATGGGGGCTACCCGAAAAAATGGACCTATATTTATAATTCGGTAGAAAAATGCGATCAAAACACCCAAAATACCGCAAAATTGGAGGTACCCTTATATGGGAACTATCCGAAAATATGGACCCATATTTATAATTTTTTCAAGGTCTTGGCATAACACAATTTTAGATATTTTGATTGTCATCCTCGCGGTGGAGGGAACTTGACATCGTTTTAACTTGTTTATTATAAAGTTATACGGTGTACCAAACATAGTTTGAATCTAAAATACCACAAAGAATTATCCCTCGATTTTAAATACTACGAGTTTAAGCATAACCTATCCCAATGTTCTGGTAATAGTTATGAAGATATATTCCGTCACTAGTTTATCATATAGATGATAAACAACAGCTCTAAAAACTAGAAGTTACATACACATTGTTAATACTATCAACTATTTAATTTTCCATCTCTGACGTTAATACAAAAACAAAACAACTTTGTCCCATAGAAAATTGTCTATTCCATATACCAAAAAACGAACAGCTAAGCAAAGAGTTAATGTTATTTGTTGCTGTTGTTGTAGTCACTGCAAAAGGTGACACCTCCTTTTATTCTAGCCCTCTTGTGTGTGTACTTCTATGAGTCTATTGTCTTTGGATAGAAATCTAAACAACAAGAAGAAAAAACAAACTTGTAGACGTGCTACAACTCTTCTTTGCATATGGAGAGTGAGCGAGAGATGTTTAAGAGTTAAACATTCGAAAAACGTCACACAGTTAATGTAATTACTATAAAACGTTGTTGTTGTTGCTGCTTCCGAGTGAGAGAGAGAAAATTGTGTGGCCAAGACTTAAGTGGATAGGAAAAAAACAAGAATAAACCAACCATGTTCTTCTTCTTGTTATTAGTACATTTTAATGACGTACATAATAAAAATCACATTCGTTTTTGTTGCCTCTGTTCTTCTGTCCTGTTGTTGATGATGATGATGTGAGAGTATTAAACTCTTTCCTTTGTAATAATAGAGAGCTGGAGCAACAACTACAAGAACAACAAATGACAAAAGAACAACTGAGATTTAAGTGAAGAGGACTTTGGCAGTTGGTTGCAACTACAATATTTTACTCCCCGTTTTATTTACTTAGTACTCAAGGCACAATGTATGCCATCTCTTTCTCTCCATAGTAGTGGGAAGGTATAGCTGACTCAGTGTGTGTGCATATCAGATATATTTTCACTCACACACTTACTTATGGGGGTTGTTGTTAAACCAATTGAGAGCAGCAGCATTGCCAACCAAACCGGATTTACTGCATACGAGTGTGTGAGTGTTGTGCTGGCGAGAGTTAAAGGCAAATGGCACGACGGCTAGCTGCCAAACAATGGCAACACAACAAATTGATACTCTTGTTATCGGCCGGAATCGCAGTCAGTGGTGTACAATACTCATTTAAATTGGTAGCAGTCGGTTGTAGTCGTCGTTGTTGTTGTTACTGTTGTTGGTGGTGGTTGAAGTTTCTTATTTTCATGGTATGCCATTATAATTCGTCGTCGTCGTTGAGTTCTTGTTGTTGTTGTTGCTGCTGTTTGTTCATCTCATCTTCGTCTTCTATATGGCAACCATGTTGGTTGGTGGTGGTGGCAGTGGTATAGGTTTCCGTTACTGCATCTGTGTATTGTTTGTTGGAACGGCGGGTTCATATCACAGCAGACAATTATTTCACAAAGGTGTTCGTACTCTCAAACACGCAGGAACGTACGCACGCACATCATACGGTCGTTTAGGTGTTAGGTGACGAACGTTTTAGGAAATATTTTCAATTTTCAAAATCACTTCTATGCTGTAGGCCTAAACAACAGGACACGCGTAAACGGTTCTAATTGAAAATTAAATTCAAACGAGTAGATGGTCGATGAAAAAATAAACTTATGATGGATTAATAAAACAAAAATATATCATGTGAAAAAGAAATAACACACACATACCGCGACATAGCTATATTGAGAAAAATATTTTCCAAATAAAAGAATTTCAAACAAAAATTATTTAAAATTAAGAAAGTGAAGATAAATAAATAAAAAATATTTTTAATCAAATATTAAAAAAAAAAAATATATAATAAGCAAAATACCCAAATATTTATAAAAAATATAAATCTTGAATGTGAAACAAGTGTAAATAGCACAGAAAAAATATAATTGTAAATAAAAAAAATTATCAAAATACCATCCTGGGTAGTCCATATCCACAAAATACGCCCACGGGCCCGGATAGCCCGCTTTCTTTAAATTCTGTTGCTGATGCTAACTCTACCACTGCTGCTTCATTTGCCCCAACTGCTGCTGCTACCACACACCCATTAACCAAATCCTTTCAATTATCTCATAATTCGGCATTTAATTTAGCCTTTCGTTCGTCGACGAATTCAATTAACGCGTTTCAAGCTGCTGTTGCTGCCGTCGGTATTAACGGTCTGAGTTCAACTTCGGCAAATTTGTATCGTTTTAACGAACGTCTTGACGAAAGCGTAGATTATAATCAACACCAGCATAACGAACGTGATCTAGCCATGGATTTAATTAATCCCTATATGCGGCATCATACATTTGCCGCGGCAGCCGCATCTCAGAATTCTTCACCCGGCCCTGTTGGCCTTTTGAATCGCAGTCCACCGCTACATCATCACAGTAATCATTTGGCGAACGGGTTTCCCGATCCCACACAAATGGACTATCAAAATCAGCTACTGGACTATCACAATGCCGCCGCTGCAGCAGCCTATGCGGCGAACAACAACAATCATCCTTTAATGTTACTCAAAAATAACAATGCCTCATCCGACAAATTACACATGGAACCAAAGTCACCTCGATCACCTGAGGATTCGTCGACACCTCCACCCCACAGCGGTGCAGATCATCATCATCAAAATTCACAAACATCATCCCGCCTGCAGTCTGAATCACCTGATAATTGTCACAGCTCGCTAAATCAAAGAGCACGTTATGATAATAATTCTAGTCCCGGTGTAGATAGTTCCAAATCGTTTTCCGTTAGTCAGCGGTCCAGTGAAGAGGCTGGCAATAACAGTGAATCAAGTCCACCGCCAGCTGATTATAGTCCCGAAAATTTATCAAGTCGTAAATTTACCTCCTCAAATACCGGCCATCCATTGGGCATACACAATAACAACATTAGTTTAGATCATAAATTGCCTTTAAGTTTTTTGGGTCCACCATTGGCGGCTCTGCATTCAATGACAGAAATGAAAACGGCAAATGGTGTTCCAAATTCGGTTTCATATGCGTCGGCCCAAAATTCACATTTAATGTCGGAAAATCGCATCACATCGTCTTCGTCATCAACATCGTCGTCGAACAGTACAACAACAAATACCCAAAGTCAGGGTACAGCAAATCCACATGGTATCGATACGATATTGTCGAAACCGCCACCAGTGACGTCGGCGGGATTAAGTGCTTTAACCGGAGGTAAGTGAAGAAGTTATTTGGAGATATTGAAACTTAATTTTAAAACAAGTAAAAACGATCTTAAATTCGGTCCAGCCGAACTTTTGGAGATAACGATCAAAATATCTAAAATTAATGGGAGCACATAGGAGAAAACTCATGCTATGATAGGACATTTAACATACCGAAAAATACGTGAGAACAATAGGACAGAAATTCTCAAAATGATTTCAGAATATATATGAATACTTTATAAGGTCTCCTGTGAATATTTCGAGGTATTGCAAACGGAATGATAATTTTAATATACATTTTATGGTGTAGGGTATAAATATACACTTCGAGGGAGAATCGGAATTGGTTATTTGTCGAAGAGATTATAAATTGGCTTTCACGATTCTTGGAGGGAGAAAAATTTCACTTCAGAAAATTTGCAATATCGGTTTGTTTATTGACCCCTTATAAGGATACTGTCCGCATTTTCCAACAGAACGGTCTGCAGTTTAGCATTCCGATTTCTTGGAGCATCGAAGGTATCAATTCTCAAGGTGTTCAATGTAATTCTATGATTGAACATAGCTCCCATATGAAGGTCTCTCCAGATTTTAAGTATATTTATTGTTCTTAGTTATTTTTCAAACCGAAGTGGTTATAATTGCCATTTATGTAAAGGTGCCGTTCCATTCTTGACACACTTATGGTCCTATGCGCAGCTGTGTGCAAAATTTGGAAATTTTAAATATAGGTCTATGATTTGACATAGCTGATTTTAGTGTCTTAAAATTCCCTATTTTTGATAAAATATCTATTTAGTAGAACAGATTATATAAAGGGCTATATGTTGACATAACCCACCGAACGCAACATCCCAATTTTTGTGAACTGTGGTCCTAGGAGTAGTTTAATGCATGGAGAAAACTTAACATCGCAGAAGATTTTGGATATGTGGATTTTTTTATTCGAACAATAATCGTAATTTTTAAAAAGGGTATTAAATTTAATAATTTGTATATACTACTTTCATTACTTATTATTATTATTTATTCTCCATTGACAAATTTTCAATTTCATTTCCAATTTGTTGTTTATTATTTCAAAAATTCCAACCAGCCTATTAAGCCTCATTTTTTAATAAAAAACTTTAAAAAAGTTACACAATATTTTTCCCCTCTGTTTATTTTACGTGAAAAAGTCAAATTTGAATTGAAGTGACACCATTTGAGCTCTTCACATACATAATTTTTAATGAATTTTGTTTATTTTAACAATTATTTAATTTTCTTGATATTTGACACCCTTTTGGCGGGCTGGGTAGCTGACTGACTGGCTTTGACAATTATCAATGACAACAATGACTCTATGGAAAATCATAATAATACAATCAAAAAAATAAATAATAGTAATAATAAAGTTTACTTCACAATTATGAATTACAAAAAAAAGTAAATAAATATAATAATAATAAAATTCCAACAAAAAGTTTTGGCCTTTATAAAAATTTTGGACAGTGCGACAGTCATAATAATAACAAAATAATTCTTGTCTCACAAAAACAAAAATTTGACATGCTTTATTTAATGACAATTAGTTATGGTATTTAATTGATTTTGGCATTTGAGTTGGAATTTTTGTTGTTGTTGAAATCAAATTTGACAACGATAACTATTAACAATTCGATTTTATGACAATTGATTGACAGTTTAGTTTTCTTGAGCTGTAGTTGCTATTGTTTATAGCCATGACTGGCATAAATCTCTACGTCCCTTGTCCCATATCATGTTGTATATTTCTTATTGTTGTTATTATTAAATACTGTTTTCATATCAAATGGTATCGTTTAGGTAAAGACCTTCAATTAATTAATTACTACCAAATATTAAATAAGCCGAGATAGGTGTATTATTTAATAAGTTATTTACGTTTTTTACAATTTTTTTTTATATTTAATATTTTATTATTTGGATGTGATATATAGTGATCAAATTTATAATGACCAAATTTATGGTATTTATATACCCGTTTTTAATAGTTCTAAAATAATCTGTTTAAAGTTAATTAGGAATAAATGAATGACGGATTGGGTCGATTATAAAAAATTTAAATTATTGTATAAAATAATAAATGAAACTTAAATACTTTATATAAATCTTGTCCAATTTGACCTAATGCAAAACAAACTGTATCATCATATATATATATATATATGTAATTCATATTGTAAATTTAGTGCAAAATTTTTCTAAATTCGAATGGAATTTAGAATTGCGGTTTTGTCAAAGGGCGTCCTGTATTCCGCGGTTTTCTGCTATACTCATATCATATTCCAAAAACTGCATTAGCCCTGGCCAATGAAGTGCAAGAGGTTCGAACAAATGTGTAGGTTTATTTCCGATTTCAAGGTGTGAAATATCCAGTACTCATCAAAAGGATGTTTGATTAAATGAGAATAGTATTTTTTACTGTCAGTAATACACCAGTAGCGTATAGGCTTGCGGGTGACCAAAAATTCGGATTTGGCCAGAAATAATATATTAAAGTTGTCACAGGGACAGCACCCCCCTAACATGGGCCAAATAGGTTTTGTTCTCAAAACTGAAAAGGTTCAAGAAAGTGAGACGATAAAATACGAGAATTAAACTTCAAATCGCTGAAGCAGATCAGGAATAAAAAAACTGTTTATAAGTGATTTATAGACAGGAACTGAAGAAAAGTACTTTGAAGGGTGCAAACTAGATATACGTGAATAAGGCTATAAGCGTGAATTTCTGAAACATATGATTTTTATTATAAAGGCACATTTTTGAACATATTTTTTAAAGAGGTTTTAACAGGATAACAGTATCTAAAAGTGGTCGGGACCTTTATCACACTCTTGAACCACATTTTGGGGAGTGGAAAGTTCCGTTGACATCATGAAGAAAAATCGTTATATCTATGTTTACGACTTTTGTAGATTATTTTTGAGATGAAATGTCTTCAGCCATATCGAATAAGGAATGTTTTTGTAAAGCATATCCTCCTTCTAACTCGAGTCCATGAATCTTGAAGTGTAGATTAAAATAATATCAAAACCTGTGAGCGGAGCAGTATAGTCGTGCGGGGTCAACCATATAATACCCTACACAACTACCATGGAACTCTAACTTTTTGTGGATTTATATTTCGAGTCTGTCGAGTTCAGGCATTATTTGACGATATTTGCTCCCTCTTGAGCGGTTTGAGTCATCCGGCTTACAATAGTTTCCTCTAGAGCAGTTAAAAATAGAGTTTTCGATCTATTTCATCCCCTAAAAATCATCAGATCAGATCCCCTAAAAATCATCATAAGCGCTTATGGAGTCATTGACCATAAGCGCAGTTTCATGAAAAATTGCAAGCAATCCCTGCGACTTTCCTCCCTCTAGTGGTGATGATGGTGATGGACATGCTAAACAATAACAAAATAGGTATAGGTAGACCTCTCTAAATATTTACGTATAACTTCCACATCTGAGCACATAAATCAATAATTGGTATCTATTGAAAGGTCAATAACTCATTTCATCATATACTGCCAACGTCTGGTCTATATCCTTTATTCTTTAGCCACATTATCTCCCTGGTGTAAAATTTCGTGGTGATCGCGTCATAATTGTGGCCTCTACAGTGACTAGAAAACAGGCAAACATAATATTTTTGGTAAATTTCATACACTAAATATTAACGGACCCTGTCCAAAAACAGTAGGGGTTTTGGACAGAAGCAGATCTTCTTTGGCCAGAACAGAAACTGTAGCATGTTTACAAATTAGAATTGACAGACAGGCGGATGGACACACATGTCTAGATCGACTCGGTTATTCGAGTTATGACGATCGGTATTCTAAAAGGACCAAGGTAGTCTAGGACAAATATTTCGCAGCGTTACGAACACTTTGGACCACACAAAGCTATAATACCCTGGCAAAATAATTGTGCAGGGTATAATTATAAATATCGGTATATCGTTAGATATATCCCTTTTAAAGGCATTTTGATATTGATGACATTTTCCAATAATAGTAACTAACCGGTTGCCATGGCATTGGCCCCATATAAAGGTCCCGTTCGATTTTGAAAATACACCTCATGGTGCAGAATAAGAAATTTCGACCTGACTGATCTTGACGAAGATTTTATTAGTTTTTTTTGCGTATTAAATTTATATGATTTCCCGGTTCAAAAGATTGGATTTTTCACATAGAATATCTGTACAAGAATGTTGACTAATAGCGTGGTCCATTTAAAATATTTTTGTTTTTCAAGGAATATCTAACAAAAGACGTTATTTTTTAAAATTTATTTTTATTGGAGGTATTTTTGAGATCGCAGATTTTTTAATGTAATTGCTAAATCTTCTAAATCTAAATCTTTGTTAAAGATAGGAGCTCAGCTTTTTAAGTGCATTTGTTAAATGATTATCGCCTTCAAGGAAAATAAGAAACGATTTCTCAAAAAAAAAAAAATTTTGCCTTGGACATAGATTTTTTCCGAGTACTTTTATTGTGGGCCGATAATTGCATTTATGGTACACAGTGTATTCAAATTCTTTGCAAAAAATCACATCTTATGTTATAACGATTCCTCAAATATATTATTTTTTGTCGAGGTTCATGTAACGCTAACTTTGTAGTTGAAACATTTTTTGAAAACAAAAATTTTTAAATTTGTATTACAACATAATTTAATTCTATTTCCAAATTGTCTTCAATTTTCCAGGTGGCATACCACGTTTCTCAATAGCAGCTGCTGCGGCGGGCATGGCACAATATTTGTCACAAAATCAAGGTACTCCACTGAAACCTCATGGCGCTCATATGGTTGAAAGAACGCATTTGTATTGGCCCGGTTTGCAGGGATTGGTCGCCAATCCAATGGCGTGGAGAGAACGATTATCGAATACAAGTAAGTAAATGGGCACATCGAAAAAAAACAACTTTTATGTAAGGAAAACCAATTGTTCCAACTCATTAACCCACAAAGGCATTTGGGGGAAAACGTAATGAATTAAAAAAAAAAATAAATAAATAAACTAACCGGAACCTTAGCAAATTAAAGAAAAATAAACACATCGAAAGAAAAAAAACGAAAACAATAAAATCAAATTAATCATAACCTTTAATATAAAGGTTGGAAATGATGATAGGGCATTAAAAATGTAATATCAATGGAAGAAAGAAAATATAGCCAGTTGATGACATTAAAATGAGTTGAAAAATAACCCTCCTTCCATTTCAACCTGACAATTAATTTTTAATATAACACGCGTCTTTCATTTAAACTCGGCTTCTGGTAACGCCCATTATACATCTGGGATACATTTCTGAATCAAAAAGAGCAGTACAAAAGCTGATGATTTTTCCTTTTTTCGTTTTTATTTGCTAATGATCATGATAAAGCGATTATTGATTACTCTGCCCAGTGAAATCTCCAATTCTTCAATTTGGAATAACCAGAAATGTGTGAATGAAAGCAAAATAATGATCAGATGAATGGCCTCTTTAACAGGGCGAGCTTCCAGTGAATTACATTCTGTTTATGTTCCCTGGGACGGTATTGTGCTGGATGCTGATGAGCTGTTACTAATGTAATGATCTGGTCAATAAATCATTGTAAAGATCAACCAAACAATAACAATGTAAAACTCATTAAATTCATTCAGACACATCTACCGCAGCAAGAATGACAAACCAGAAGATAATAAAATCGTTGAAGTGGAGGACCATTCTGTTAAGCAACCATCCATCTGGTGGTCAAGTGTTTATTTTCTTTGATTATTTTCAATGAATGGAGGGATATGAATGAATGAATGAATGCATTGGTTGCATTTCAATAATTTGTTTGTCATTGTTATTGTTTATCTGGTTTTGTCATCAGTCTCCATGTCATCTAGGCATTTGTTAATGTCATTAATGAACATATTTTCTGTTTTTGTAAGATGATTTTGAGGGGGTGTAATTAATGGGCTATAATTTATTATTTACGTTATATTTATTATTATTATTATCACTAGTGCAGTGAAATAATTTTGTAATTAATGAATATATTGTTGAGATTTTTGATGTGATTTTTGGGAATGGTGTGATGTGGAAGTAGTTGCAAAAGAACAACTCATAAAGGATTCCAAAAATGAACAATTTATGTAAAAATGAAAATATAAAACCTCTGGGTGAAAGTTACCAGAAGAAATAGGTGAATATAGCGTACACGGGATATATCGATCCAAGCTTTGGAATAGCTATTCTTTCGCTCTATTTTCGGATTTTTAGTTATTAAATGCAGGGGTTTTGAAGCGAAAATAACACTTTTTAAATATGTAGTTGTTACTAATACAATTTCAGCTATTACTAATTCAATGTATAAGGACACTCGGCTTAAATTTTTGAAATATATAGAATACAATAATAAGTTTTTCAAATACATTTTTCAAAGAATCCAGGATAAAAAATTTATTTATATTAGGTTTTGGAAAAAATAAATCAATTAGGCCGGTTATCGATAATGTCGATAAAATCGGAGAAATGATCGAAGTTGACCGGCATGTTAGCAGTCGTAACATCACCCAGGAGCTAAAAACTGTTTTAAACCATTTACACAAAGCTGGATTCAAAACAAAGCTAGATGTTTGTGTGCCACCCCAACTAACAGAAAAAATAATGCATCGAATTTCTATCTGCGAAGCCTTGGCCAAACGGAATGAGATAGGCCTATTTCTTAAATGGATGGTGACTGCAGATGAGAAATGGATCAGATACGATAACCCTGAGCGAAAACGATCGTGGTCAAAGAGCGGTGAAGCACCTTAAACGGTGGCCAAACCAGGACTAACGGCCATAAAGGTTCTGCTATGCATTTGGTGGGACTGGAAGGGGCTTATTTATTATGAGTTGCTTCCATATGGCTAAACTCTAAATTTTGATCTCTACTATCATCAAGGGGGCCGTTTGAAGATAACAATTGACCAGAAACGGCCAGAATTGGCCAAAAGGAGAGGACAACGCTAGACCACACATATCTGCAGTGACTCCCCAGAAACTTCGGGAGCTTGGTTGGGAAGTTTTAATACATCCGCCATACAGTCCGGACTTGGCACCAAACGATTATCATCTTTTTCTTGCAATGCAAAACTGATGATAAAAAAATTGTGCCTAGGAAGGATTGTGAAAATCGACTACTAGAGTTTGTTGCCAACAGAGAGCATGACTTCTATGAGAGAGGCATTATGAAGTTACCTTTAAAATTTGACCTGGCTCGAAATATAGATCCGCAGACAGTGGTAGTTGCGTAGGGTCTCTTATGGCCAACTCACTGGGTTTTAATCTAAGTTTTTACGCGGATATTTTTTCGTAATATTAGGTTGGAGAAAAAGAAATCCATTATTTTTATATGAACTATAAGACTTTATTTAACATGCATCGGAATGTCCGATTTGGGCCAAATATGCACCGTTTTGTTATACGATTTTTTGCCATTTTATAGGCATTTATCGACCATTTCTCCGATTTTATCGACATTTTCGACGACCGGCTTACCTTTGCGAGTTGCATCTTTAACGTCAAAAATTGCTGAACGGAATATACAAAACCACAGTTGCACATAATTGACAGTTACGGAACCATAAACACCATTCCGAATTTTAGCCGCTTGGCTTGGATTTTCGCCTTTGTCAAAGAAACACTGTAAAATGTATCGAATTTTCTCTTTATCCACTTCCATTTAAATGCACAAAACAAAAAACAGCAAAATATTTTTTTTTTTTTGCGAAATGTCATCCTTCCATCGAGAATAAATCTGAAACTGTTTGATCGATACTCCCATTAAGCCTTTGGACCTTAAATAAGGGAACCCCACATTCTCAAGAATGTCTCATTAAAATTTCAAGATCTCAACAAGTTTTAAAGATGTGGCCGATTTATTGTGTCAGCATCAAGCGACGTCAACTATTAATCCAATCGGTTCCGAAGTCAATAATCCTTGTTCATAACGGAGTCACATATGAACTCTTTCTGTCCGAAATAAAAATAACATCAGATCGAAGAAAAAGCGGATAAAAATTTATAATTTGTGTTTAATATTAAAACCAGTGAGCGGAGCAGTATAGTCCGATGGGCCGACCATACGATACCCTACACAACTTCCATGAAAATCTAACATTCTGTGCTTCTATATTCTGAGAATTTGCAATATTTCGCCATATTTGCACACTTTTGACTGACTAGAGGTCAGCAAATGTTACTAATAATCAGTGGGTTGTGTTGCGATGTTCGGCTTTCGAATCGAAAAGTACAAATAATTAAGTTTTCGGTCCACTTCATTCGAAAAATTATTATCTGATCATCACCTAATTTTAGGCGTTAACCTTGACCATAACTGGAACCACATGGAACATTTCAAAGCGATCAGCGCTATATTTCCCTCAAGTGTGGTAATAGGTTACTAAATAATATATGAATACGTAAGCACCTGTAAATATTTAAGTGTAACTCCCGCATACGAGTACCTATCACAATATAATTGGTATAAATTTAAAGGTCAACCACTCCTCTTGGATATACTGTCAACTTCTCGGGTATATGTCCTTCAGTGGTAAATATATACTCTATAGAGTACAAATTTTGTCATTTTTCACACAAAATTTAGGGTCCATTTGACCCTGTAAATATTGGCCGATCTTTATCAAAACAGGCATGCTTATTCTTTGACCCGATCCTCTTCTCCATGCAAAAATTCGCGGTGTTTGGGCCATATTTGCGGCCTCTGGAGCGACCAGAAAAACCGACAAAAATTAAGTATTTGGTCCATTTCATCCCCTAAATATTAACCGATCTTTTCCCAAAACAATAGGGGTCTTCATTGGCCAGAACCCATCATACATGCAAAATTTCGTGAAGATTGGTCCATAACTGTGGCCTGTATCGTGTTTACAAATTATAATGGACAGACGGACGGACACACATGTCTAGATCGACTCAGTTAGTCGAGATATGACGATCGGTATACTAATAGGAAAGGGTCTAGGACCAATATTTCGCGGCGTTACAAACTTGTGGGCCTGCACAAAGCTATAATACCCTGACAACATAGTTGTGTAGGGTATAAAAAGCAGCTTTTAGTAATAAAAGGTTACACCAAATCTTACTGACATTATCCAACTTAAATACTAAATATTCTAAAACTGAAAGAATATGTGCAAATTTGCGAGGCTTTAGCAATTACTTTGAATAATTTCAACGTAGTGATATGTAAGATATTAGAGTTTTATGCTGATCTAGAATATCAAACGAAATATATATATATATATATATATTCCTTACTTGGTGCTCCATATTTTTCAATATTTATTAAAAGTTAACATTCACGAATATACCTTCTTATAATTGGTATATAACCACATATTCAAAATATACATAAATATATACTACCAACATAAAACTCTTTGATATACATGGTTATCTGTAACAAAATCTCTGTAGCACATGTTCATGTTTATAAAAAAGCTTTTGCAGAACAACACATACAAAATGTGTGATGCTATTCACTGTCTGTGAAAAGCTTTCTTCGGCAAATAATGTATTCCGTATACATAAACAAATCACAAAACACACACTCAGCCAACAAATTGCTATATATATAGTATATAACAAGGATGCTCGTCGCATATTCCTGAAGAAGATATTTTAAACGAGCAACCCTCTCAAGGATGCTGTGAAGAGAACCAAAACACAGCCATGCTTACAAGGCACACTTACACACATTTCTATACGTACATAAGGAAACAAGTCTCTATCACAACTTTTATCATAGAAATGTTTTGCTGTTGTTCTTTAGTATGGTTGTTAACATGACAGGAACATCATCATGGATAACATTGATGGTCGGTTGGGTGGCGATCTGAAGGCTTAGAA